AACAGAGAACTGGAGCTTGAAGTGCACATAGTGCAGGCAGTGACTCAACAGCCTTTTCCCCCAGCACTGCAACACCCCATCTTTAGCTCGGACACATCTAGCAATACTTTTTCTGTTTCCTGATTCAAAGTTGGGGGCTGAGATGAGGCCATTTTCCACTTTTTCTTTGAATTAAGCACAGGTTACAGCCTTCCTTTTTCTCAGTGCTCTAATCTGCTGCCTTTCATCCCCAGAGCCAGTGTGTACAAACAGAAAATGTTGTGCTGCTTTACGTTGATTGTTCCTAGTTTTCTTTCACTGTAGGCTTCCATCTTCAATACACCTATGGATGGTACCGCTGGGAAGTGTGAGCCCTTCTGAATACTTGTTATGTTTTTAGACCTGCTTTTTTAAAGACAAACTCTTGTGAATAGATAGCTAGAGCTTTGCCAGTTTACAGTACTAATTAATCTGCAATAGATATTGCTGTATTGCAATCTGTGCTCTCAGTGGAAAACATTTTAGGTTTTTAATTAGCACCTTGTAAAATCGAAACTTGATTGGATTGAGCTTTAGGTCGTGTCCATGATGTTCACCATGTAAGTCAACAAAAGCAAACAGGTAGTGCAGCACTGTTTTTCATGTCACTGCAATTTCCTGTTTAAATGTGAGAAATACTGGCTTATGTGAGATCACTGATATAAGTTATGGTCATTAAATGCTGCCCTTCTTTCGCAGCAGAAGCTACTGGTACAGAAGTACTTTGGCTCTCAGTAAAGAGGAAGATTACTTAATCTGGAAGTTTCTTTTGCTTATGGGAAAATTTGCTTAGCTTTGTTGAATCCTTTCATATGGGCACAGGGGGCAAAAATGTCCTTCTGGAGTGGAAAGTGTGTCACAGAACACTTAAGGCTAAGACATAACAGTGTTTTCCTGTGCTGTGTGTGGGAAAAGGAGTAAGTGCTTGTATTTGTCAGCTATGCATGTCTAGCTGTGGTAGATGCATGCAATAAAATCCCATTTATCCTGTTCCATATCAGCAGGACTTTAAAAATATTGAACTTGGGCTGCACAGTAGACAAACATGCTAAAGGGAGCTTTAATGCTGCAAAGCATGTTTTGCCAGCATGCTGCACTGTTGCTGGTCGCTGTGGTGTCCAAAAGCAGATCTTCTCCTACAGCACCTACAGGTAAACACAGTTACAGTTTCTTCCAGACCTGCATTCACACTGTACCTGTGTCCAAAAGTATTGGCCTCATGATAACCTAGAGCAACAGGGAGGCTGAATAGGGGCGCCCTAAGTGTGCCCTGTAAGCCACTTCATTTTCATGACCAAGACAGTTGTCCTTGTTACTCTTCCATGTATTTAGGTAGACTACTGAACAGAAAGGGATTTTAGGAGATACTTCTAATTAGTTGTGAAGTTGTGAGAGTCTCTGCTCAGACAAATTTTTGGTGGTGCACTTGGAATTTTGTCACAGCGAGAGCCGATGGACTGTAATATTCTGGGATTTCTCAGGGTTTATTTTATTCTTTTTCTGTAACACATACCATGGCTAAAGAGGGAAGGAGTCTCAAGGGCTCCATTTGCTGGTGTGAAGCCTGCCTCCTTTCTCGTTCAGGGTCACTTAACTTCCTTCTAGCATTTGCAGGAACTACTCACAAGGAAAAGTGATACTAGGACAAGACTATTATTTTTAGCTTTCGCTCATCTCCTTCTTTCTTCTCTGTGCTGTAAAAATGGAAAGCACTACCAAACCTGGACTTTTTTTTGAGCTTAGCAAGGCCCCAGAGGCTTGGATCTGACCTCAAATACCTTCCCATGTTTCACAGATAGCTATCACAGGCCTTGGCAGTCATCTTTTGCCATTCTTCAGAGGTCGGGAAACTCTGTAGCAGAAAAGAAGATGATTTTACAGTGTATGTTTACTGCAGAATATTTTGAAGAAGTACTGATACCCCTCTTACTGTCTGAATATATGTGCTCCCGTCAGTGGCAATGATGCTGGCTCCAGTTACATTCAAGGAAAGCAAAAGGAGGCTTGAATCCAGTTCAGGAAGCCTTTGGTTTTCTGAGAGAGATTCAACTAGGCTTGAAGTTGCAGCTCATGTCCCGTCTCTTCATGTCTAGATATAACAGAGCGTGTAGTAAAAGTATATTCATTCAATTTTGTATCAGCAGGACTTGTAAACTAATTAGGTTGGGCTGCACAACTGAAAATATTAAACTAATTCAGGCTGAGCTCTCACTTCAAGGCCATAAAAGGGCAGAAAAGTTATTGAGGGAAAATCACATTTGTTCCTTTTCATGTGAAGGACTTCAAGTCCATAGAACGTCAAGTGACAAGATGAATGTTGTCTTTCCGTCAACTAACTATAGTTTAAGTGGCAGTTGAGACGATAGAGGGGTTTTTGCCTCCTGATGACTAAATTCAAGGTTTACTTATAGTGACAAAACTCCCAGTGTGATTATATTGCAGCCACTGAAATCAGTCTGGATTTCTTTCGTAATAAATGGCAAGCAGGAACAGTATGACCTGTACATGTTCCCATCCCAGGCCTCAAGATGCTGTGGAACTGAGTTGGTGTGGTGGCTGGCGAGCATTGGTAATCACTCACCCTCTTTGTGCCCTGCCCTGCATCAAGTGCAGCCTTGTCCTCACCACTGGAGACAGTCTGGTATTGCATCAGAAAAGAGTGAATCTGAACTGCAGCAATTAGCTCTTTTTATTTTCCGAAAAGCAGATTTAATCTTGGGAGATTTTTCTCTCTTCCTCCCTTGGTGCTCCTTCTGACTTCTTGAAATGCCGATAATTAAAGTATAATCACTATCACGGCCTTCCTATTATCGTTCCCTGAGTATGCCCATGTTTAATCCCTCCGTTCTTTGAGAGAGGGTGTCTACCAACTCTTGAGCTTTCTCTGACCTGTGCCAAGGATAAATGCATCTCTCACTCAGCCTTTCTGCCACGCTTTGCCTTTCTCATCTGCTGGACAGGAAGAAAATTGGAAAAGCTTCAAAAAAGTGTGGGTGTTTCATATTGCTAAGGTCAAGTGCTAGACATTATCAAAGGGACTGGCATTTGGATGTGGTGTTGCATCTCAGACAGCTACGCTGGGGTCTGCTGCTGATTATATAACTCATACATGCAGCAAGATTGGCTTTTTGTTCACCCTTTTTTGTTTTATAAATTAGAATTAAAAGGATATTTTTATACAACAAATTCTTAAATTGATATTACGTAAGTTAATATCAACAACAAATAGGATAAAAAGTAATTATAATTTAAATTAGATGAAGTATTTAGACTAAAATTACAAAAAGAAAATACGACTTTACATAATATTACATTAAAAGTTAGTTTAGAAAAATATAAGATGTATATATATGTATTTGAAAATGAGTAATCTTGTGATTAAAAAATTTTTTGTAATTAAGCAATGATAATACGTAATAGAAATTAATCAACAAATAAGAAAACAAGTTGTAAAGAATAACAACAACAGTAGAAATTTAATAAAGAATAAAGATAAAACTAGAATTTTGGATGGTGTTGTGATGAGATTGACTTTAAAGATGTTATTGTTTGGTGTGATTAATGTTGTTTTTTTTGAAAGAGATTACTTTTATTTATGACAACTCTTCAGTGGACAAAATTTTACATTTTGTATGACGTAGAGTCAAATTAGTTTTCTCTTCTCATTAGGATGCTTAGATGGTTACGTTTCTGGCAAATTATTAGTCAATTAAATTTTACAGTGGGGGCATCTGTGTCTATTGTGACTTGTAGTACTAAACATGAAATTATAATAACTTGGGAAAAAAAGAACTTGGTATACCTTTAAACTTTTTGATACCTCACAGGCTTTCAAGCTATCACACACTCACACTTTCTCACTTCATTCACCTCCTTTCACTCACACAAATACACACTTGAATTTACCTTGCAAGGGTGATAAGTGAAATTTGATAAACTACAAATTATAATATTCATTTTTGTACGAAAACCCAAGACATGCATGTTTTTAAAGTAACTGTATGTTTATAAGACTAAAAAGTGTAACAAAAACAACAAAAAAAATTGTTAAAGACAAAAGATAAAAGAAGTAGTTATAAACATCTCTATTCCCCCTTTTCTCTTTATAAAAGGGAGTGGAATATGAAACAATGTTTGGCAAGATGTTAGTAAGAGATGCTAATAAGATGTTATATTTTATCTTTGTTTTAGATAATGTTTTATGAACTTGTTCTAGTGTTATTATGTTTAAGGACTTTAGTATAAGTATAGAAAGTAAGGATTAAATAATAAAATCAGAAGTAAAGTCCTATACAAAAATGATTACTTACATATAAAGTAATACACAAGAAATGAGTATTTAAGTGTATAAAATTATATAATTAAAAATCAGTATTTGCTGTGCAATTCGTTACCATTGCAATATGAATGTGCTGTTATTTTTTGAATGTCGACGTTGTTCTCCTTCCTGTATATAAAAAACTCAACAAAGGTGGTATTAAAAAAATATATGAAACATAATTATTATTAAAGTTAAAAGAGTAGCTGCAAAATTATAGTGTAGTCATGACTGCATTTTGAGTACTCAAATTATTAGCATGCTTCAAAAAATAGTCTATAGGTAAAACTATTTACAAACATTACGACCCTTCACTGCTGTTTTCAAAGGTAGATGTTTTTTGTTGCCTGCGCATTAAGTCGTGGTTGAACGAGGAGTTTGTTGCCGAGTTTTATGACGCCTCCTTTTCTTTTGTGTAGTGTGACCGTTACGATGACATACAGTCACAGTGTCTATTAAAGATGTTTCTTCATCATCTTTACCCCTTTCAGTTGGTAAATTAGGGGTTTGATTGAAGAGCAATGGCTTGTAACTGAGGATTTAAATTGGAACGTATATCTGTTGTTAAAGCAGAGTTAGTGTGCCAGTTAGTGATTTCTTGTGAAGGCCTTGCTGCGTCGGCAGATGTCTGCTGGGCGGCGCCATTTTGTGGGATGTTTGCGTTATGGATGGCGGCCATTTTGAAGCTCGGGGTTTCCGGGGTAAAGGTGATGACGTTAGTCGTGGAGGAGGGGAAAGGCGACGTGTAGGTAGGTGGGTACGCGCCTTCCCGCGCTTGATCTCTCGCGCCACTCCCTCTGCTGTCATCTGGCCCGCAAAATTCTTCCCGCCGCCTTCATCGTCGCCATTTTGCGTGCAGTGGTTTTCGCCCTCAGTGCTGCCCGCCATTTTAGGTGGTTGTGCCGTGAGGCGTACTTGTGAGGGACCGTCGCCATTTTGAGAGTGGTTATATGCGGCAGAGACTCCAGCACCGTTTTGCAAATTGCTATCATTGAGAACAGTCACATTTATTTAATTGCTTCTGGTACAATTCTGCGGTTGTTTTTAGGGTCTCTTGCCTTTGTACTATTTGTTTCACAGTCTTTTTAAGTATTATGAAGACTGTGGTCCAAGCTTGCAAAGCTTTCACTGCATGACTGTCCCCAGCAATAATAGCATTTGTTAGCGCAGATCCGATTTTTGCCCATTCCACGTATATTATGATCTCTGGAACCGGGTTTGTGTTTTTATGAATCCATTTTACGAAAACTTTCAGGGAGCTTTTGTTTAAAGGATAACTTTTTCTTCTGATTAAGTTCTTCAAATATTTGTACATTTTAAGTTCTTCCCTTGAAGGGCTAGCTCCCATTTTTGTACTTTCTATTTTTCTAGTTTTTGTTGTAGTTTTTCGATTTTTCTGTGTTTTTCTTTTTTAGTGTGGGATATTGGAGAAGGGGGTAGGAGGGCAGGGAATGCCCCAGACGCTCACCTCTCCTGACGAAATGCCTGCTAAAGGTTACTGAGTTCTTGCCATAAAATTCTAGCAATCACATATATTCTGCTCTAAATGTGTCTCTGTCCAGAAATCAGTAGTGGCTTCAATAAGTTTATTGAAACTTACTTAGCTGAGAAGACAGAAAGTACAATGGCAACTAAATAGCTGTGATCCAATAGGGATATTTATATTGAAATTTACTCATAGTCTCACTCTACTCAGTACTTTTTATCCCATTTAGATAGTCTAGAAGAAATAAAATGATTATGGCAGAAAGTCAAGTGCAAGAGAGCCCATTATTTTATAATTATGTCTAAATTCTACCTGTATGTTTTTGATCTAGGCCTCATTTGTGTCTTAACCTGACAGTTGTGTTGTTTAATCCCTTCTAGCTGGGCTGCAGTGCCCTCTTACATTGCACTCTCTGGGGGCAGAGACCAGCTTGCTTTTTAAGTTAAGCTCGACTACACAATATTTAATATACCGAGCAATGAGTCACAGCTGAGTGGGACTTCAGTTACTCTTTCCTGACAGAAATTGGAATTTCACTGCATAAATGCCTTTTTTTCTTTTTTGGCTGACAATTGAATGGCAAGAGTGGCGAGGAGCTGCTGCTTCCTGGGGGCAGAGCAGCATTTGGTTTGACTCCAGAGTCAATGGGAGGCAGTACTAGCAGCACCACCTCCCTGCTGAACTTGGAGCCTGACACCCACCCTAGGGCATCTCCCCTGCCCTGTTCGGGGTCTCAGCTGTGAAAACTGCTGATGGTGGGTTTCTGCTGATGGCCCAGACACTGGCTCAGAGGCATTCTTGCTTTCCAGTTCTGATCACAGCCAGAGGGCAGCTTGGGTCCTAATTTGCAGAACAGCAGCTCACCAAATGAACCAAAGACTGACATTAAAACCTAAACTGTGGAGTAAAAATGGTCATCTATCAGTTTCTAATTTCTTTTGTTTTGTCAGATCACCCTCAATGCTTATTGTTATCAAAATTCACAGCTAGTTTTTGTGCAGGGTATTAGTAATCTCTCAGAAGTCCTTCTTTTATGTATGCAATTAGCTTTCTGGAACAAGATTTTTCTACACAAGTAATAGAGGTTATAAAGATGGAAGTTGTTTTAAGAGTTGATAGCTACATCCCCATCCTTACCCTGATTAATAAGTAGTTCCTTTTTGGGTGATGAACTGCTATGTTCAAATTACAGTATTTTTTCATCATTCTTTTTTCTAAGGAAAAGATTCCAGGAGGGAATGACTTAGGCCCATAATGGTTAAATGATTACCTAGACAAAAACATTGTTTTGATCCCTGGTCCTTAATTGATTCTTAGTTGGAAAACTAAGATTCTGCAAAAAAAGACAGTTAGTAAACAATTTCTCTGTTCGAGAGTTGTTGGAGACTACCCTTTCTCACCATTATTTGTCTTCCAGCAGATTTTTAAAAGCATCACCAATGAAGACTCAATCCAGGGACAAGGAAGTCGGAGACTGATAAGTTTTTCATTGTCAGGTAAGTCAATGCTGATGGGAAAGTTTTAAGCCCAAAGAGTTGGAGACTGGAGTTTTTAAAACCTTTCATGTGTGGTAGTTATGTGTATGTATATATTTATATATGGGGTTTTATCTGCTGCTCTAGAAGTGATGCTGAGACAGAGAATTAATATCTGTGATTATTGCCACACTCTCTTCTTTCAGTGAGAGTTATGCACTGAAGTGTCTTGTTCAAGTGGAGTTTTGGGGCCAGATTAGGTTTTTCTGTTCACAATTAAATATGTAGGTCAGGGAAAGCAAGATCAAAGGCATGTGCTTTACTTGGAGAGTACAGTGTGATTTGTGGTAGTCAAGAGTTACCCTAGGTCAAAAGTTTTACAAGCATAGGCCTTTCTGTGTAAAGTCCTACACTTAGACAAGTTATCTCATTATATGATTAGTCTTGACCATATGATTTATTTCAAGGTTCCTTCTACTAAGCACACAAGTTAGTGTGCAAATTAGGCATCCAGTGTGGTTCTTGAGAGGCTGTATATGGCAAGTTACACTGGTATTAGGTGGGGCTGTTTTAACACATCACTTATTTTTGTGGCATCCACCCATTTGTCAATAAAACCATGGGTTTAGCTCAAGAGAAATAAAGAAGTAGAGTTACATGTTTTAATGTTCTTTATTAATCTTATACAGGTATTTGAAAGGCTTTGATAAAGAAATTTGGCAATTATTTCACCAAAATCTGTGGTATCAAAATAGTTCCATTTCAGTCTTTCTGAAATTAACAGATTAACGTATCACAAGGATTTATTTATTACCTTCTCAGTCAATATCCCAACAACAAAATGTTTTCTCACTCAAAGCAAAGTTGTTGCTATTCCTATATCTATTATGCTGACTAACAGAATACAAATCAATCCAGACCTTCCAGAGGCATCATCAGGAACTGGGATTCCTTTCCATTTGCACTACTGTCTCAGCAATAACTTCTCTACTGTCACAAGACCTTTTGACTTGTATAGACTTTTCCTTTTCACTATCTATACTGTGGTATATTGTCATCTTCTGTATCATTACTTAAAAGCTATTTTTCCAAATTACGGTTGATTTTTAGAAAAAAAGTGTCAGACCATCAGTGTGACTGGGGACCATTGCATGAAGGGCTGCCCCACCACAGAGCCATCATACCTTAAGCAGTCTGTCATGTAAAGAATGCAAAAAGAGCTATGTCTTCCACCATATCACTTTTTAAAGAAAAAAACTATTAGAATGGGAGAAAAAAATGTTGAAGTAGGCCAAATTCCATGAAATGCTGAACAACATCAGTGCATTTCAGCAGACTTTTATTGCTTGCTGTACTGCCAAGGCTCCAGTCAGACCCTATATGGAAATGAACTGTGCAGAAACAGGTTTTTTTTTTCTCTAAAAACTTGGTGACAAAATGCTGTCTTCTTTCTGAAAGTGCTTCTTTATAGAGTATTTGGTTGGACAAAATCCAACTGGTTTCATGGGAGGTTTTGCTTGAGAAAAGATTTCTGGATTGAATAAAAATGTGAAATAATGAAACAAGTGTAAAACAATCCTTTAAGGCCCAAGAAGATGGCTAACTTCTTGAGAATGGAAATAGCAGAGAGTTCACATTATATCACTAGGAGGGATTTTTCCTTCATGTTTCCTGCTTTGGAGACTGGAAGTTTGTCCTGTGAAGGGTTAGTTCAGAGTAATATGTTCACTAGCAACACTGATCTCAAAGAAGGTAAATTCCTGCAATTAAGTACTTTTTATGATGACAGTATTATTGTAGCTTTCATTATTTAAAATACCAAGAGAAGTACTTTAAGCCTAGATTGAAAAAAAAAAAAAAAGTCTTTATGGAAAGCTATGCAGTCCACTTTGCATTTATTTTTCTACATGCCTTTTCTGCTGTTATCAGTGAATGTCACACTTCTGATAAGGTGGCTGAAAGTGTCAGAGCTCTCTTGCATGAAGTATGGAAAGAAGAAATGTGCTAAGCTCCCTGAGATGTGTGAGCTACTTCACTGAAGGTTCATGGTTCAGCAGTGTAACAAATTTGCTGAAAGCCCTTAAAACCAGTCTTGTTGGCTGGTATATTTGGAAAGTGTTATCGTGAGGTTTGCATGATATGCCTCCTAGCTCCATGTTGCATCAAGTATGTTTTTTTCAGGCTTTAATATTTCACATATCTCATGTGTTTGCACACTTTATTTATAAGTGTTCTTGTAGAAAAAGTGACCAGAAGATTTGAATATCCCACAAACATTCAGGCATTTATCCTCTTCACACCACTCTGAGAATGCTGTTAGTTGTTTCTGTGTGTCTTTCAGATCAGGTATTCAGGTAGTATCAGTTGTCAGTTTAAAGAAGTCAGAGTATAAATTGTAACTGAAAATAGTATAAGGTCCACTAAGGGTCATTATGACAGTAGTTGTCACCATGAAATGTTTGTTCAGAATGCAGATATATAATGCACTTTATCTTCCAACAATTTTTTGAAATCCTAGTGACTGATTTTATAACAGGAGTTCTAGCCACTAAATTTTGTTTAATAGTGTTATGAACCTGCTGCCTCTTCTGCCTTCTCCAGCTCAAGCCAACTTGCCCAGATGTAATCTCAGTAAACCTGACAAACTAACCCCTTGACTTTTTCTTACCTGTTGGATCTTGTGTGAAGGTGAGGTGACTTTCTGCCACTCCCAGTACACCTGTGCCTGCAAAGTAGTGCTGTGCTCCAGGCTAAGTTTGAAAGGCATTAAAAGGCTTTGAATTCAGCCACTCTGTTATCCTGTTTAACCCAGGCCACCTTGCTCCATGGTGTGGAGCTTTGGGCGAGTTTGGCTCAGACATATCTTACACACAGGCTGTAGTCTGGAGCTGAGGATACCGTGAGATGGTGCTTTGTTCCAGTGGTTAACCGCTTGCAGGGATTAAAAACTCCCACTTGCTGTGATAAGCTGTTCACTTTAGCTGTTCAGACTTTTTCTGTTTTCCTTCTTGATGTAGACGATTAAAAATGGAGCCTGTCTTTCAGCCATTTTTGAATAATTAATTTCTCTACTCCTTTTCATTTATTAATAGACCTGTTTTCTTTCTAATACCTCTGCTGCCCTTTCCTTACAAAGATGAGAATCCTTCTGTTTTTGTTTGTAGCATTTACAGCTAAAAGAAAATATTTTCTGTTTTTCTACTGTCTTTAATATTTTTCTCTGCCAGCCCTGTGACAGAAATGTTTTGGTTTATCGATCCACTTAATCTTTTTTTTTTTATTAAATCTCAGACCATTAAACACCTCCTTGTGCAACTACACCAGCCTTTTTTTTTTTACATTCTATTTTAAAAGGAAAGTGAAATCTGTCAGTAGATCTGTAGATTTCTGAGAGTAGGAAGGACTTTAATTATCTGATTTAACCTCTTGCATATCACCAATTGCAGAATCTCATTCAGTAACTGATAAAGTCAGTCATCTACTGTAGTTTATGTAGTATGTTTCTCAATTCCCCTGCATTAGTTTGCAGTGTTGGATTTTAAGACTTCCTATCATGGCACATTACTGTTTGTTTCCTAAAGTTCCTTAATATTTGCTTCTTGAAATCTGATACCAGATGCAACACTTCTGTGAATCCATGCTCACTTTCCTTATGATAAATTTTAATATCATATACTGCTGCATGAGTCAAATTGGCATTTCATACAACTGAAAGGTTGTTACACTGGTAGTAGCTAAAATAGTTTCCTCTTGCTTTAAAAGAGAGGCAGTATCTACGTGCCTCCTGTTGAATCTTGAGCAAGCAGAGTTTTTTTTCGTTCCTTCTTTTGAATCCACGGCTATGACGTGGGTAGCTCAGGCCAGTAGATGAACTGCTACCCTCTAAGACAGGTCCTACTTGTTCTGTCCAAATTCTGCAAAGGAAACACTCCACAAAAGAAACACTGATGTATCAGCACCCTGGCAATTACCTTCCCTCACTGGTAGTCAATTCAGATACCGGTCCTGTTCAAGTACATTTTTTCGGTGTCAGAACCCGAGCTGACAGCTCTTTGGGAATTTACAAAGGAAATCTGAAGAGAAATGTTGGAGCTGTCCACTAACATCCTAATTAGCAACTCTCTTGTGGTGATAGACTATGAAGATGGCTTACTGTGCTTTGATACATGAACTATCAGGATCTCAGTAAGATGGCAGTATTTTTTGCTTTCTGCCATTAATGAGCAGATCATAGAGAGAATAAATTCCTCTTTGGTATTCATCAAGCTAGATCATAATCTAAATTGACTGTGGTCGTTCCAGTGACGCTTGGTTCTTTCCAGTGTCCTGTTAACTCCACTAGTGCTGGTTTTAGATATGTTCTGGGCAAGTTTGGACGAACTGAAGATGTCTTCATATGCTCAAAGGGTTGGGTGATTCATGAGGAATATGTCTGTTTCCTGGTCCTGAGATGATGAGGCTAGCATGCTAAATAGGAAAAATGTGAATTTGGAGAGTTGACCGTAAAATTCGTAGGGCTTAATAACGTCTGCCCCAAGTGTCAGCATAGACAGCTTGAAGACATCGGTTGTCATCAGCTGGATGGTGCTTGGAATCACAAAGGATATTCAGTACTTGGCATTTGCTGGATGGAATTTGCCAACTGTTTTTGAACATCAATATCAGTTTCTCAAAACTAATAGCTCTGCTACTTACTAGTCTTTGACCCTTCTGCTGGTTTGTAGACTCTGGCTGTTTTATTTCAGTGCGGTAAAATACATACCAGTTTCCAGTTAGCAAAAAAAAATAGACTGTCCATCACTGTCTAGTCACTAAAGTTTTTGATGCTGTATGGCAAATAGATTTGCCAAATGATCCTTTACAAGGCAGACAGGAAAGTCTGTGGCCCACCTTAGGAACAGAGGGTACATGCATGCGAGTGACCTAGTGTAAAGCTTCCTTAGGCCTCATCCAGTCACCTGGAGATCAGCATATATGGGAGGGAAGCTCTGAAGTTGGAAAAAGTTCGTAATTCACTTGGAGTAAGCTGCAGGCAGTAGTTACTATAAATCTCTTTCCTGCAAGGAAGTGAGCCTAGCTCTATTGGGTGCACGTACTTGGAATTACTGCAAGTCTGTAGCAGTGAAAGAGTCTGTGGTTGTTCTGTCTCTACCTGGATTCCTCCCTTCTGTCATCTTTCTTGGAGATGGCCCGACATTATTACACTGTTAGATGTATATAACCTCTTTCACACTCAAGTGTGATTTATGACTAAGTGGGAAACTGACATATGGTGTATTAATAACTTTTTTTTAAGTGACTGGATGAAAATACCCCTTTGCAAAGCATAGATGAGTTATCTTGGGAACATTTCCTCATACGCCTCCGAGAAATACACTGTAGAAGCAAAGTGTATGGCAGGGCATGTCTCTGGAATTCATTGGTTTCAGCAAAGAATTAAACTCATTTAGCCTCAGACCATCACTCAAATATTTAGTATCTTCAGAGCCTTTTTTTCTGAAGGTGATAAAGAGAAATATTTGCATTTGGGAAAGCAGAATAGCTGGGATTCTTCCGTTGGGACGTTACACAGCAGTGGTAAGAGAGTATCTGAGCCTTGGGTTACAAGTTCCAGCAGAGAGTTAACAGCACCTACAGATAGGTTTTGCTTCAAATTAAATGGAATTGTGGTTAGCTGCAGATATCCACGTAACTTTATTCAGAGCTATTGCATTTTTGATTCTCCATTTTTCATAGTGATGAGAATTTGTGGTGAGATGTATAAGTGGGATATTTGTCCTCGAGAAAGCTATTTCTGCTAGCCCTGTGCGTACTTTGGACATTAAAAATTGAAGTTTCTAACTGACTTTTTAACAAATTTTGGTGTGTTATGTAATTTAAGAAAGGAAACAGCACAAGTAAAATTGCCTGCTCTGTGCTTAGCTAAATTATATTTTTTTCCTCATCCGAATGCAAACATGAGACTAGGAGTACCTTCATTTTCCTGACTGTGCCTAATTTCCATAAAGGGATAGAGGCTGGTAGGTCATCATAATATGTATTTTCTTTATGATTCATAATATATAAATATACATAATTGAGTGCTAGGTGTTTACTATCTATCAATAGACCATTTCTTTACTCAGTGGTATGGTGTCTGTTTGAAGGAAAGAAAATCAGAAACATATACAGCAATAAATATTTCAGTTCCAGAATCTTTTGAGGAAACATCAGAGAGAAAGAAAATAAGATCCCAGAGGTCTTTCTCTCCTCTCATATGCTAGCAGCCTGATGCTAATACACTGCTGGGCCTTGTCATTCATTTATAGTGCTTTTGCAGTCTTGGTTTCTGGTTCTTGAATGCATTTCCAACAGTACAACTTGCAAAGCCAAAGAGTTTGCCATGTAGGATTTCAGCAGAGCTGTTAGATGAGATACATACTGGTTACGCAGAGATTGTGCACTCAGGGGTAAGAAAAAAAAATAAAAGAGAGAGAGAGAGAAAATCAATGTTATCAGTTTGAAGCAGGTAATTTTCTTTGTGTGATAGCATTGCTAGGACCATGGCAGTACATACTGTCAACAAAGTACTTTCAGATAAGCTCTTAGTAGTGATATCCTTTTTGTTGTTGTTGTTGTTAACTGTAAGAGAATGCCTCAAGAATGAGATTCTTAAAATACTGTCTGTTTCAGGACCATCTGTCCAACAGCTTTTGAATGTCTGCAACATGAATTGTGTGCTGGAGTAGATGATTAAAACCAACAGAAAGAGAAGCAGTTCTTTTGAACTTGCACATTTTATTGTGTTGGCTATTACCATATGTTAAGGAAGCAAAATACAACTGGGTGAACCATATCCCTGTGTTTGATGTAGCCATTTTCTGGAAAAATACTGATGGTTTGCAATGTGTATGATTTTCAGATTTATCCAAAATATCTGCCTGGAGGGTTTTACATGGTCTCCCACAACCTGCCAGAATAATTGTATTTTTAATCAGAAGAGAATTAAAAGACTGTGAAAATTAATGTTTTCAAAGCCTGCCTAAAAGAAAAAAAATATATGTTTAAATTGAATATTTAGGTATGCATTTAAGTAGTTTTGGAAACTATCTTGTGTATTACTTTTTTATCTCTTCAATACAGCGAGAGAAAATAGGCAGAGTGCAGTACAGTGCTTATAGCTCTGTGTGAAATAAAGCTTTAAACAGAGGAGAATCTCTGGGCACAGAGTGGTGGAAAATAAATTAGTCACTGAACTCTCTAATAGGAATAAGTTGCTCATACACTCCAAAAAAAGCTTAAAAATGCATCTAGAGAAAGAGAAGGCCAGAGGGTCTATTTTGTGTCTGTTGAGCCAAAATTAATGATATACCAGCGGATTGGTTTGCATTTCATTGGCTTCACAGGGACAAACCATAATGGGCTTTGTGTCTTTCTTCAGAATATTATGAGTAAATTTTTTAAATAAATGCCTGGAGACTTTTTGTCTACATCACATGTATTATGCTCCCTGGGAGTTCTGCAGCTATGAAGCACTGCTTAAAATTTGGACATTGTAGACAAGAGCTTTCCTAAGTTACTACAGGTAAAGTTTAACTCATGCAGGGAAGAAAATGCTTTGAAGTGGAAAAATCGTAAATCGACTTTTTGTGTAGAAAAAAGTGGTGTAAAAGCTAAGATTTGTAGAAAGGTAAAATTGTTACCTAGGAAAAGTGACATACATTGGGTACCAAATGCCATGACTTTGTGGTTAAATGACTGGATTTCTTTTTTTAGAGTACTCCTTCCACTAGTCAGGCTGAGCAAGCGCTTGGCTTATTAGAAAAAAATAGCAGATCACTTAAAGTTGCGTAAATATTGTTTTTGAAGCTAAATCAATCTGGACAATCAGGTTGCAAATTTGCAATTTCATTATATAGTGATTTGTAAATCCTAAACCATGATATCATTATGTTTTGGTGTTACATTGCCTCACAATAAACACAGTGAGTTTTTCCACATTCATACCATATTATTTGGGTTCCTTCCTGGGTCCCCATGTGATGTTCCTACCATCCCAAAGAGATAACTGGAATGTGAAAAGTAATCAGGGTATTTACCTTCTTTCAGATTTCCAGGCTTTTGGTCTGAAGAAAGGAATGTTCTTTAATCCAGATCCTTATCTGAAGATTTCCATCCAGCCTGGAAAACATAGCATCTTCCCAGCACTTCCTCATCATGGACAGGAGAAAAGATCCAAGATCATATGTAATACCGTCAACCCAATCTGGCAAGGAGAGGTAAGGAGTTTGAGAGTTGAGCTTAGACTTTTCTTAAAACATGGGCATTGCTCTAGTGCTATCTGTCTTTTTTTTTCCTTTTTTTTTTTTTTTTTTTTTTTTTTTTTTTTTTTTTTTTTTTTTTTTTTTTTTTTTTTTTTTAATTCCTTTCTTGGTTAAATAGTTGTGGACCTAACTCCTAACTGTGCTTGATGTATTTCGTGACTTCTGGTCTCGATACAAAAGGCTTAATTGGCTACAAAGATGAATGATACATTAAAACTTTCAGTATTGGTTGTATTTCGTGGATGTAATTTATGAAGTTGTTAATTACTGAAGGCAGACATGAAACAGAATTGAAAAATAAACTTGCATAGTGTGAAAGGCCGTTAAATTCTTGTAGTGTTTTTGCACAGAGAGGAGACATTATATAAAGCAGAACAAGTTTAGCATGCAAATGAAGAGAAGCTGTGTGATTGAAAAGCATCAGTAGCAATATAAATTAAAGGCAACTTTGGCACATTTTCCCATCACCTTGAAGAAAGTCTCTTGTCTGCTTCTTGTTGTTGGAAGGACTTGTGGATAATAATGAGATCTGAGAGTTCAATTGCTGCCTGCTGTTTTTAAATTACATGCGAAATGGCAACAGGCAGCAAAGAATAAGGAATCTCTTTGGAATTAAAGGAACCTGACATAACGGGTGTGATTTACTGGCATGCTCTGTCAGACCAATATCTCCACTGCAGGAAAGAGTAAAAGTAAATAAATAGACTACATAGGTTTATTAAAATTAAAATGCAAATCGGAAAGTGGTTCAGGGATAATTGGGTCAAACTGGTATGGACATGGAACTGTGAGTGGGAGAAAAAGGCAGCAGAAATGTTACTGAATGCTCCTGCCTGGAGAAACTAGATACCACTTCAGGTTGTGCAACAGGTGGGGGGGGTTAAATGACAGGGGGGACAACCTTGAAACTAGAAAGAGGAAAGTGCCTTCTAAGATGACTTAATTGAAGCCACTGTCATGAGGCATCCACCAAGCCATAACTTCTTTGTGGAGCCAAGCATCAGGTGTGTCTGGTTGAGAGGTCCCAGGTCAAGCTGAGGAGCTAGAACTTGTCGTGGGAGACAAGTGGATAAGGAAGACTGGAAACTGTTGCTGAAACGTGGTGGTAACCGTTCTTCTGTCCACGCTTTTTGCTGATAGATGTGAATATATGAAGTGAAAAAATATTGAGGACTCGTAGCCATTTCATTAAAAGCATCAGTCACTAGTTGTCTTCACAAAAACGTATTTTAGGCAATGTATTATTTTGGAAGGGTCATTCTTTCCTTAGGTACTTTCACTCTGTGTGAATAGAAGGCAGGTGGGGTTTTTTGGTTGTTTTTTTCTGTTGAATGACCTATCTGATTTGTCTCGGATGCTGACCTGGAAAAAATCTGGAATAGGGAAATAAAATCATGGAAATAGCTGCAGACTAGGATCTTTATATAATGTTCTTGATTACCCTTGAGCAAATTTAGAAGTGAAATAGTCAACTCAGTTTTGTAGGGCTTCAGGACCATAAGTCCTACAGACTAAAAGACGACTGATTAATTTACTTACATTAATTCATTCTGGTATTCCTCCTCATATACTTCCCAGGTTGTTCTATTTGCATAGTAACCACCTGCGTAATAGGAACGCTCTGGGAGCACCATGATACCTCAGGCAAATTTTCATCTGTCTCATGTAATATTGATGATCACTTCACAGGCGGTTCAAATGTTGTTCAGCACAAGTTATCCTGTCTTAAAGCTGTTCTTCCACTACTCTGATTTGCAGTACTTTGTACAGGAGGACAGAAGGAAATGGAAATTTCTTATTAGATGAAGAGTAGCTTGTGATAATTTGACATTTGCAGCAGGGCTCTCTGTAGAGAGAGAATTGTTCACTGAGACAGGTTAAAGCCCAGGCAGTGTTTTCTGATAATAGAGAGGCATCATTTTGTGATGTTTCTGTATTTTTTCACGTGCTCTTCAGAAACATCTGTACTGTTAAATAAGTGAGTGCCTGGAAACCACATGGCACTGGACAGCTTGACTCTAAACCTCTAGATGAAGCAGACATTGTACTGGCAGTCCAGACTGTTGCAAGAGCCTGGAGGGTGATCTGTCCTATCATGCTGATTGGAGGTAAAATGCAAAGAAAATCTCAGAAGGAAGTCCCACTTCCCAAATATTCTGCACAGCTAGTACAGCTGAGGAGGGTGAATGCTGATCATAGCTCTTTTAATATTGATATTAGAAAAATAATGACACTATTCCCATGCTGTTTCACACTGAGACAATGTGTCTGTTGTCACGTTGTTCAGGAGAAGTCCTTTAAGAAGAACTAATTTGTCAGCAAGATATAAAGCGATAGACAGTTCAGACAGGCAATACAGATCATTTTAGATCATAAGAAACAAAGCAAAGTGGTTTCAAAAGTAGTTCACATACCTCCAGCTGGATAGGAAATTCTCTCTATGGTTCTTAAGATAAAGTACTTCAGGCTTCTGGGACTTTCCCCTAGACATATTTAGGTATTTCTTTCTTAGCTATGGCAGCTTGTTTCCAAGCTGCTTAGCTGCAGGAGACTGTTTCCTCAGTTTTCGTTCCATTTATTGGTACAGGGACAGAGAGCCTCAAGGACTGGCCAGTGAGATGACTAAAGATTTGCTGATGCAACCATTCAGCGTATATAAAGTAGTAGGAAGTGCTAAGTGATACATTGAATTTCAACTCCAATAATCTAGCTCCAGAAGAGTAGATTGCCTTAAAGTGGGAGCCCAGTACTAGGTTAAAACCAGTCTAAACTCCCTGCAGCTTCACTCTTTTGTTTCTTTGCCTCAACCTTCACAAACACTGTTAAATTACGGCTGAGACAAAGCAGTGTTTGAGTTGGGTGCCTTATCACTCTGAAGATAGACACATTTCACTGGCAAAGGATTTGATGAGTATGAGCAGAGGTGTTCAGTATCTGTTGCAAGAGCACTTAGCAAATAGTAGTTATTGTGTCAGATCTCACACAGATTTAGAGTATTTTCATCACCAGTATGAATTTAAACTAAAGCAGGTTATATATATATATAAAGCAGGTTATATTTGGTCTGATTTTGGTCTGATGTTCAGAGCACTAGATGCTAACAGTCCTACTATGGCCTTACAGAATCCTTCAGTGATTTCACTAGAAGTCCACAAAAAAAAGCAACAGAAACATCATATTGATTGAACTACTTATTATTTATCTTGCATAACCTTTCCTCCTATTTCTACTGGCAAATACAAAAGAATATGCTGCAGAAACTTGGAGGACATTACACCTAAGCATTGTTGTGTAAAACCAATATATAGGTGAAGTGAAATCCAGATCTGGAAGTTAATACGAGTTTTACCAAAGGTGAGTGAAGGCTTGTGGGTGGTACCTTCACTGTATAAGATTTCTGCACATATGTCCAGGTAAAGTGTAAAACAGTTTGACTACACAGAAAAGCTGTAGTTTTACCGCTGCATTATTTTCTGTTGATGAATTAAGTGTGAAAGCCCAAGACAACTTCACTTTCTTCAGGAATGAGTTATGGTGTGAAAAATTGTCTAGACTTTTTCAAGATGATGTCCTCCTACAAGTCCATTTAATTGCAACTTCTGTATCTAGAAGACTATTGGTCTTGCTAGTGTTTATATTAGTGCTCATGAGAGTCCTCAAATATTTTCAGTCTCTGCTGTGCTTATAAATTTAGAGACAACGTGTGGAAGAGAAAGGAAAACCCTGGCTCTTTGAGCAGTGTTTTTCACTTGATTTATCCAGAAGTTTGTTTAAATTTCTAATGTCTTAGGGCTGAAATTTGCCGTTAATAAAGTAAGAGGCATCCTTTAAGACTATCCAAACCATCAAAGGGAATTCATGATGAGCCTATTAACTGGGACTTTTTTTGTACCTTGTTTCCAATAGAGAGAGGTAGTGAATCTGAGGAAGAAATCCAGAAAGCCAGTTTGCTGAAGGCCCTGCCCAGCCTTGAAGGAGTTCTGTAGAAAGGATTGAATCAGACTTTAAAACATCATCGTGTATTTACGTGCACCCCTTTTGCTGTAGGGAAAAGTACCCCAACAGTAGTTCCTTGCCAGAATATTGGATCTGGCAACCTGCAGCCCCTGCTGGGTTACAGAAGTCTCTTGTAGTAGGCATAGACACGTCCCTGCCCTCGACAGCAGGGGAGCTCTGTGCTTGACACTACCGACTCTGCATTATTTTGTCTTGTCACTGAGGTGCACTGTAGTCAGTTTAAGAAACTGCAGTTTTCCATGAGCTTATCCAGATGTTTTTATAAGTAGTGTTGTATGGGATAGTAGTGATACGTAGAGAGGGTTTTTGAATGGAGAACAGAATAATACAGATGGAGAGGGTGTGTGTATTAAGAGTATAATTGTTTCACTGGAGTATTTGAAACCAAAAAAAAAACCTACTAATGAAATATTCAGCTGAAAGAATAAATCTATCTTCATCCATCAAAGGTAATTTAGAACCTTTTAAGATCACCCCCATGCATGATGGATATCGCAAATAAAATTTCTTTTTAATTCTATTGCTTATTCAACTCAAAATCAAGAGCCTGATTCTTCCTGTCACCAGTGTATTAATTTATCTACCTTTGTTACACTGGCTTTATTATACTAACTGTCTACCAATTGTTATACTGACTGTTTTTAAAGAACTTGACTTGCGCTTAACTTGTGTAATTGGTGCTAAGGGACCTACTCCTTGATAGTGTTACTGAGTCACTGTGATCCATCTGTATTCAGGGATGAAAACAACTTTGATAAAAATAAAACATGGAAGTGAATCATCATCGGTAGTTGGCTTTCTATGAAAACTATTCTCAAGCTCTGGAGATGGTTCTGTTATCTTATAAATGGATACAGATGTATTCTGCCAGCTCAGCATTAGCCTTCATTCTTTACCACATATGTCATGCACTAAGCCCCAACAAGATCAGTTCATGTTAATAAAATCAATCATCTGTGTCTGAAAAACCACTGTTGGGTCTGGAAGCAAATAGGCACTGCAAAGTAGGTTACTGTCTGAAACTCCTTCGGTGGTGTTTACTACTGAGTTTTCAGATCTTGCGTGAAGATGCCAGAAGTAATGTAAAATCAGATGTACGTTTAGATCATTGAGATGGTGTGAAACTATGAATGTGTCAGCTGATTCTAGGTAAATTTGATTCTGATCTGTGTGTCTCTGTGAGAGTGAACCTGCAGGAGGCAACTATGTAAAATCTGTGTAAATGAGAGGAGAATACTAATGACTTAATATTGACCAGAGACAATACACTGCTTAGCCTAAGAGGACTTAATATGTTGCTGTGGTTTTCTTAATCGTGGCACTTTTGCTCTTTCCTCTCCCTCCATCCTCCATATAGAAAATATTGGGCAAGGAAAGAATTTAAGTTATTCTGGCAGTAATACTTTACTACTTTACATTAGTTATGTTGGCTATGACCAAGAAACACAGAGTCCTTTCCCTTCCAGATAGATAAGATAGCAAAGACCAAGGCTTTGAACAGCGTAAATGTAGCCAGTGTTTTGTGGCTAAGGTTCAGAGTCTGGAACTTGTCAGAAAACACGGTGAAGGAAGAGAGGGAAATTAGGATTTGATGGTGTTTTGCTTCCACGTCCAAAGATGGCATTCCCATCTTTAAATATTACAAGGAACACGTTTTCAAAAGCGATTGGTGATTTTTGAGAATGCATTTGTAAGTCTTGGAGTTCTCAAACCTAGGTGTTTTGCTGGGATCCGTTTTTTCAGAGGGCCAGGGGTCCATTTGTTCTGCAACCAAGGATTCCTTTGGGCATTTTAGTGTGGATGGCATGAACCTGAGGCATCCACAGTCAGAGATGGCCTTAGAAGAATCTTGCCCACTAAGAATTAAACTAGATGAGAGCAACAGCAGAAGCAAGTGCTTAGATAAGGGAAAACTCAATTACGTAAAATTAGCGCTGGTTTACAAACTGTGTCCGAACCCATTTCAGTGAGTTCACTTTTAACTTCAAACTGCAGTTGTTTCCAAATGGCAAAGCCTTTGAGCTCTGCCACAGGACACTTCTGGTCTTAAACCTTTAACTGTGTTTCCAAAATGCAACTGACTTTATGCATCAGAACATTCTCCTAGAAGAAACATTTGGAAACTGTGATCATGGACCAGAGGCTGGTCTCAGGGCATTCTCTTGTATCCCAAAATGCAATGTGTTGGCAGGTGATGAAATCAGAACACAATTTTACAGTTTGTGTAGAATATTCTGATGTTTATTTGTGTTTGAGGCACAGCTGTTCAAGGGAGAAGGGACATTTTCTTTGGCTGATTCCAATACACCTCGCACCTTGGATCCATACTCTCTGCTTAGGTGTCTGGAAAATGTGCAAGGAAGGAGCTGTTAGGCTTGGTTCCACCTGATGTGAAAAATAAATATCCGTGCAGATTCTGATTTGCTTCAGAGTTGCACCGTAGGACAATATATTATTAACATTCAGATCACTAATGTTTTACTTTTCACTTATGAAACAGTTCAGTCTTTACTTGTGTGTGTTCATGCTCTACCCCACAGAGATTTTTTTACAGTACAGTAGTCAACAGCACAATAATGGAGAATTCATTAAGTGGTAAATGGATGTGTGTAACAATAGCCTCACTCAGTTAAACATTCCTTCCCTTCTTCTGCTCTCCTAATAAGTGTCATGAAGTGGCAGCTACCCAAGATTTTTAGCAGGTGAAACAGTAATGGTAATACAACTTATTTTTTAAGGCAACTTTTAATATACATGACAAAATAGTGTTCTCCCCTTTGGTGTGTTTATCTTCCTGTTGCAAAGATGTATAAGAAAAGAGAAGAAAATAACACTTTAACTCCTATTTGAATTTTATTTCTCTGATTATTTGTGGTTTTGCAGGGCCTGATTAGCAGAATATCCCACTCATGTTGATTTCACTTGAAGCTGTTTGAATCAAGCGTTTCTGAATTAGATCGTGATTCAATAGAGCAAGCAATTTGGGACTTAACTCCAGGCCTTGATAACCCAGAGCATGATTCTGTTGTGAACATTGGTTTTGGCAGTCGGAAAGCTAGAAAAGTCTTCCCATCCATCTTAATATTCACTTACTACAGAAGTTGTCTTCCAGTGCAGTCCTGACCTACCTCTCAGTTAGGTGAACAGCACTTTGTCAGTTTTCCTGCTATTGTGCACCACACCACAGATGCGCTTTTTTGATTGATGATATTCTAGTAGTAGCAGATGTTTGGAAAAAATTATTGTGACCTGTGTCACCAACTGCAAGCCTGTACTGAGTTTAGCCGGTCTAGGAGAAAGCAAGGCCAAGTTATCTAATACGTTTGCTTTTCACTATTATTTTTAAATTGAGCTTGACTTTCCTTATGGGGAGATGGTGGCATCTCCAGGTGCCCTAGTATTCCCGTGTTTGAAAGCCGTATGCATGGACTTCCTTGTTCCTACAACTTAAAATATCCCTCTCCTTGTTCCTACCCTCGTTTTGCACGCACACAGTCTCTAAAAGCTTATTGAAATGTTACTTACAAATAAACAAAGCTGTTCTTGTTACCAGATTGGCTTAGACAGTTGTCGCGTGTTCCAATGCATTTGGTGACAAGAGCAGTTTTAGGTGGTGCCTTTCCTATTTTCCCCACTATCGTTTGTGACAGTGGCTTACCTTTGGGTTTAGCTCTCTGTGGGGCTGTGGTGTGACCCAGGTTAGGGGGTTGATCCAGATAAAAGGTGTTTTCAGAGCTTTTCCTTTTTGAGTTGGGGCACAGATGAGCAAGAAAAGGAGAGTTTTCAAAACAGTCTATCTGACAACAGTGATCACGTGTCCTTCACCTCACTAGATATTTCACTTCTCAGTTGCCAAGTTGTGCCCGACAGCTGAGGTACTGTGTGTTGGTACTGTGTGGCCCAGCTTCCAGCTTAATGTTCTGTGCTCTTCCTTTATTGCAGCAGTTCAGCTTTGTCTCCCTGCCCACGGACGTCCTGGAAATAGAAGTTAAAGACAAATTTGCAAAGAGCCGACCAATCATCAAACGTTTTCTGGGAAAACTCTCTATGCCGGTTCAACGCCTTTTGGAAAGACATGCCATAGGGTAAATTTTGCTGCTTTTCTGTCGTTTGATGAGTGCGTTGCTGTTTTGAAGTCCCTGGTGATAGATCATTATTGCGATACAATGATGTTGAGGGGAAGTTATTAAACTGACAGTTGTCTGATGAATGGTGTTGGTCTTAATTAGAATTTATAGGGCTACGGGCCAGACAAAGAATTCCCTCTATACCTCTGTGCATGGCATTTTGAGAAATGAGAGCTGGCACTTAGGAAAGAAGACTTTTTTTGTGTATCATGGCTGCGAATCTGGAGAGTGCAATATTTTCAATTTGAATATTCTTTGAATGTTGTCAGCAGGCTGTTTCCATGTTTCAGGAAATTTCCTATGGGCTAAAATCATGCCAGATCTGGTTCTCCTCCCTTCAGTTTCTGGAGAGTTGAAATATTATAAAAAAAAATATATGTGGCATGTTGTAACTAAAGCTTCCTGACCCTACCCTGCTGCCAAGGAACAACCTTGAGCTCACAAGCCCTGCCCTGCTTCCCCATTGCATGAAAGTCCTGGGAAAGTGTATGCTGCCAAAATAACACAAACCGATTTTAGGAAGATGGATAGTATTCAGACAAAGACAAAAAGTTGGCTCTAAGCCCGTAACATTCAGACCTTGAAGAGCAAGGGAGAAAAAGAGTCATCTCCTGAGGAAAGCATAAACAAAGTGGTTTCCAAGAAGGTATTTCTGAAAACTGTGTCTCGATTCAGCAGAACAGCAGGAAGATGAGCTTGTTGGAAGTGTTTTTCAACAGCTGGTTCAGAAACTGGCTGCGATATTGACAGCTGAATCCACCAGAAGGGACTAAGCTACCTCCTTGTTTCTCAAGTAGGGAAGATAGAGTAGCTTTTTAGAAACCAGATGGAAAAGAACAGCTTGGGGAAGTTAGAACCCCATAGCTGGTATCATTGGCTTTCCTCTGTATGAGAAGATTTCTTATCATCTTCTTGGTTATAGCTTCCTATTTGACTTCCTTATGGTAAACACTGTCTATCTAAGGATGTACTTTGCCAAGAGCAGTGCCTTCAACCTGCACACTAGATCTGGCTTAGTTTTAATACCCTATTGGCATTTATATCTCAGGCAAACTCAATGAGCGTTCACACTAATTCAGAGAGGTCATACACAAATCTCGAGATTGTCTCATTTATATGAGTTTCTGATGCATGTGAAACTATCCTAGCTAATATATTTGGCACAACTGGAAGTGAACTATGTTTCTTCAAAAGATGTATAAATATTACTATTTAGTGAACCCATTACACTCAAAAAATGCTTTGCAAAGATTGATTCAGCCGCATTGTGGGCAGCTGGGAAGTTAATCTCTTCTGTAGTTTCATTCTGTTCTGAGGGGTGGATGAAGTGTGGCAAAGGGAGGGACCTGCACAAGGACAGAATGGAGTCATTGATCAACCTTGTCAGGAAGGTGTTCTCCTGATATTTCAGCTTCATAGAGGTAAGAGGGGTGGAAAGAGATTAAGAGCAGTCACTCAGCCAGAGAGAAGGTGGTAAGCGGGGATTAGGCAAGAACAGGAAAGATTCATTTTATGCACATGGTGAAGGAAAGAAAATACAGAAATGTGAGGTTCTACAAAAGGGTAGATATGGTCAGATCTGCAGGGAAGCAAAGTCTTGTTACAATAGCTGAAGTGGGAGTTGTTTGCTTCCCATGTTGATATTTCCATATCCATGCTGCAGAAGTTTCATCCCCACCATTCTCTCTATATTTATACATATGTGCTTGTGTATCCCAGCGGCCTGTCTCACTCACTTACTCAGCTGTTCCATTGTAATTGAAGACATTGTCCTCTCCTTCTCTGCCATTCGTTCTCTCGTATGCAAGTCAACATGCCCTCATGGCTGGGATGAATAGCCTTTATGTATTTTATTACGTATTTTTGTAGGACACAGCAGATTTATCTATGCACAGTAGACATTGGGTAGGTTATAGTCTATTGTGACAGTATTTGTTTTCTTTCAGGGACAGAGTTGTAAGCTACACTCTGGGTCGCAGGCTTCCTACAGATCATGTCAGTGGCCAGCTGCAGTTCCGATTTGAAATAACTTCTTCCATCCACCCAGGTAACTTTCAGTCTTAATCCATCTTTTTTGTTGGTGGTGGTTTTTGGTGTGGTTCGTTTGTTTGTTTGTGGTTGGTTTTGTTTTGGGTGTTTTTTTGTTGTTTGGTTGGCTTTTTTGTTTTTTTTTGTTTGTTTGTTTGTTTGGTTTTTCTGGTTTTTTTTTTGTTTTGTTTTCGTTTGGGTTTTTTTTTTTTTGTTTGCATTCTTTCTCTTCAGAAATCTGACTTCATTCCTGGATGCTCTGGGACTTAAGGTACAGTCATGAGCAAAGGAAAGTGCATAAAGTCCCCCATCACAGTACACCTCGTGAGTCACAACTTCTTCCCTGTTTCCCCTTAGCTTAGATATACTGGTGTCTGGTATTCCCCTGTTCGTGGCTGCTTCAAATATTCTGCCACATGATGGGGCAGAAAACTAAAGTCTGACCTGCTTCTCCGTCACCTGCCCTGCTGAAGTGCTAAATGGGCCATTGTTTGTAGAGTCATTGCATTTGAGCACTTCATAAGTAAAAATAGACAATGTAATAGTAGAGGTAATTAGAAACTTTTTCATTTTGATTATTTTTAATGAAAAAGTAAAAATAAAACAGGAAATAATGAGGTGTTTCACTCCTTCCCTCCCTCTTGTGGTTTGGTTTTGGTTCACATTCTCTTGCAGCTATTCAGAAGTAACTGTCGTGGTGGTGTGAGGCGGAACCTTGGTTTTCATGTCACGGTCTCAATAGCATTTCTGAGGGACTCTTTGCTCTCTCTGGTACACTTTGTCAAGCTAACAGCAGCTGCATTAGTGGCTGGAAGTCATTACTTTCCCCTTGATGGAAAACCCAGATTTCTGTCTTTTGACTATTTAGGTGGCGTAAACTAGCCCAGGTTTTTGGTGTCTGGAAGGAGGTGGTACAGATGAGGATCACATCAAAGGATATTTAGGGGAAAGTTTTTGCCTTTCAGGGGTGGGAAAAACAGTTTTTTTACATCCTCTGTTGTGGAGTCTGGCCAGCTTCAGCATGAAAAGAAGAATGTCATTAAAATCTCAGGAAGACTTCCTTGTCATTCCCATGATATTCCTCCAATGCCAGTTTGGCTCCAAGAGGAGTTTCAAGAAGGTGTTACCTTCAGGTTATGCTGCAAGGAGGCAGGGTGCTGCATACAAATTACCACCATGAGTAAGCCTGTGATTAAATCCACTGTACAAAGACTGCTTAGCAAAAAAAAATCAGCACTTCTTGGTAGTTGTTCATCTGCCCACTCGTTTCACACTGTAATTTATGCTTTTAATTTTCTCAGATAGCTATGGATGCTTGTGCCCCCCCAAGCCAGCCTCTGCTTCAGTCAACACTTCTTATTAAAGGCGTAATTAATTTCTTTTACTGTCTCATGCAGATGATGAAGAGGTCTCCATTAGTGCAGATCCTGAGCCAGCTGACCTCCAGGAAAGCCCTGTGAACAACCCCACAGAGGAAAGCCTCGGTGAGCCTCCATGCATCAACACAGTGACCTCAGAAAGTGCAGCTCCAGAACAGCTAAATGGATACAGTGTGAACAGTGTCGATAGCCCAGGGGCTGTCAAACCACCTGGGGAAGTCAACCAGAACAGCTTAAATGAAGAGCTAGCAGGAGATGGGGAGGTTGATGCGGTGCCAGTTCCTGAGCCCTTGGAATCCATCCCAGGAGAAGTGCTGCCTTCCTTGAGTGCTACGGACCTCACAGAGCAGTCGGCTCTGATGGCTTGCATGTCCCCTCCTGAGACTGAAGTTAGGGAAAATAACAAAGTCAATTCTGGTATGCAGGGAGATGGTGGAGTGACCAGCATAGAAACATTAGATATTGATGAGGTGAGTGCAGATGTGCATGCTGGCAAGGACTTAGAGAAGAGTCAGGAAGAAGATGAAGGGGCTTCAGCCCAGGAGGAGGAGGACAACAAGCTACAACTGAGGACCACGGCAAAGAGGAAAAACAGGCCGTGCTCCCTGCCTGTGTCTGAACTCGAGACAGTCATAGCTTCAGCCTGCGGTGAGCCAGAGACCCCTCGCACACACTACATACGGATCCACAACCTGCTCCACAGCCTGCCCTCGGCACAGATGAGCAGTGATGGGGAAGAAGAGCAAGATGGTGGCCATGGCGGGGAGAACGATGAGGAGTCTACAGTCAAGGAGGTGTTGGATAAGGAAGTGGTCAGTGAGAGTGAGACAGTGGCAGCAGAACCTCCTCTGGAAAATGAGGCTGAAGAGAACTTCAGCCAGCGCACAGTGCTTCCTGAGACCTTGGATGAGCAACTCTCCGACTTAAATGATGTGCTGTTGGATGGGGAGCCCCCCAGGACAGGAAGCGAGAGCGAGTCCAGCTCCAGGCCCAATGGTGACAACGAGTGCGAGGCGTGCGACACCTCTTGCTACAGCCCCTCTTGCTACAGCACTTCCTGCTACAGCACCTCCTGCTACAGCACTTCCTGCTACAGCACCTCGTGCTACGACAGTAACAATCGCTTCTCCAGCCATACGCGCTTCTCCTCCGTCGACAGCGCAAAGATATCTGAGAGCACGGTCTTTTCCTCGCAGGATGATGATGAGGAGGAGAACAGTGCTTTTGAGTCAGTGCCAGATTCAATGCAGAGCCCTGAGCTGGACAGGGAGCAAGTGGATGGCTCCTCCCAGTGGCCAGATGAACTAGTAGCTCATGGTGGGAATCCACAAAGAGCCGCAGAGGGTCTAGACACCCCAATAGCAGGTCCAAGCAGCAGAAGAGAAGGTTAGATCCCGAGAATCGATGCGCTGAGCAACCCTGGTTATCTGGATGTCACAGAAGGCATCAGATAGTCGAGGTTTCAGATAGCTCACTGTTTAGTTCTTACAAATTCGGGGCTGTGAGCTGACCCCGATATCAGGAAGGGTTGGAAAATTGAGCCCGTCCTTAAAAACCCCAGCAAAGCCAAATAAATCAGGTGGAGATCTGTCTATATGGATTCCTGTAGGTAAACATGCATCATTATTATAAAATCAAGATTAGCTACTGTGGTTATGTGGTAGATCAGCATTATCACATCCACCAACTCATTCCTTTTTTTCCTGGGATTGTTCCATTTCACATATCTGATGCACTACCATGTCTCTGATAGTTAGTGAAAGGACCAGCTTGTGCTTGTCGAAGGGCAGATATGCTGATTTGAACCAGGTAAAGATCTGGGCCAGTTTCTGTTTATGTTTGTTAGCTATGCATAGTCAGTAAGCTCTTAAGAACCCAGTTTTCTAGCCCCATTTGTTGCACTTCCCCAGGTATCAAACAAATGTACCTCAGACGTCACAGATCATAGGGCAGCTCCACGGAGATTTATATTTTTTCTTAGACACTTTGGAAATTTAACTATCTTGAATGAAATTCTCCTCTCCTTACCCTTCCCTAGAGATAGAATATACTCTAAAATGTACTTTTTTTGCCTTTGTAATTTAGGTACCGTTTTTCCCAATTCCTCCAAACAGTTAGATCAAATCCCTCCCTTTGGTAACTCATTTTGTGTTGTATGCAGTTACATAAAGAGAGGGGGTTGATCACTCATCTTTTCCTCAGCTAGTGTATCGTTTTTCTCCAGCTGTAGAAGTAAAGGGCTCAACTGCAGCTAAGGAGTATGCAGCGAGGTCAAGGGGTAGTCTTTGCATTCCCGAATTCTTAAGTCCTCTGTCTCCCTCTGTAAGTGACACCAAATAGAAATGGCAGCAAAAGGATTTGGGGATCACTGGGAAACCCCAAATAAAGCATCCTTCTAGGTTTTCCTTCTCCATTCCCAGTTTATTTACTCCCACCTTCCACTGCTACAGACCCAGCCCGTGCAGATAAAAGGTGAAAGGCTGGCCTTACACACAGGCCTGTGTAAAGACCTTGTAGGCAGCTGGAACTGGGGAGTTACTCAGTCTGTAGAGCAGAATCTAGCCCAAAGGATTAAATTTTCAGACGTATGCAGGCATAGAAACCCAGTTTCCTTCCTTGCAGGTGAGAGGTTTTGCTTGTGGACAGCATTTATGTGGAAATACATACCTCAGTGGGCATGAGCAGGAGTACGAGTGAGACCATACTTACGGGTTCGGTGGTTATTTTGGACCGTGTGCGCTTTTGATAGGGGGTGCGGTGGGAGAGGGTGTCTCGTGCCCATGGATTCAGTGCAACACCAAGACTTGAGCCTGTGTGAAGGGCACTGCAGCGTTCACAGTGCCTTGCTTAGCTAAGGGCAAGCCCATCTCTTAGCACTCTCTTGGTGCACGCTGCTTCGTGACTTGGCAGCTGTTGCAAACACGGTAGACGTGGTCACCTCCGCCCGCTGCCAGGTGACTGACACTTACCACCATGCTTCCGCTGGCTTGGCGTAACTAACTTGACTAGGGGAGAGTCGATTTCGGTGAGGTAAGTAAAGAAACGTAGATGGGTGGTGGTCTGGTAGTGGGTGCTGCAACACCCGTAGTAGCAGCACAGTTTTCGAGGCTACGGGAGGTGGACATTCAGCACTGAGCAATAAATAAACTTACATAATCTGCCGTCTGTTCAAAACACGCAGCAGATACATCTGTGAGATACGCCTATGCACGAGGGGTTTGATGAAGACATTGAACAGGCCATACCGTATCATCAGAGCACCTAGAAGAGGGAGTATTTTTGTCTAAGCAATTTTTTTCTCACTTCCGGATGGTGTGAGATTTTTTTATTTTTTTTTTTTACAGTTTCATACAAAACTGGCTTCTGCCTTCTAGCTGTTGGTTGTTTAAAGACAAAAAAAAAAATTTTTTTTTTGGTAATTTTTTTTTTTTATATTTGATAGCTCTATGTTTGGGGGTTTATACAAAATGTTTATTCTTAGACTGTTAAGATTCTGACATTAAAGACAGATAAACCAACTACCACACAATGAGTTTGGGTTTGCATTCCATTTGTGTTGGTTTTTTTTTTTCCATGCATCTTTCTGATGCATGTAAATATTATATTTATGCAATTCAGATTGTATCTGTATTAACAAGCCTATCTGGAGCTGGAGGTTATAGTGAAAAAATGTTACTACACAATATGAAAATATGTCCCTTAGTAGGATAAATAGTCCTGGTTGCTAAGATTTTAAGGACAGACCAAGAAGGAATCTTTATTCTGGGACCTTTGATATTTTAGTGAGCAGGTTCCTTATTCTTACAGTTAAGTCTTAAGATGAGGAATGCTTTTTCATCCCTACTGTAACTTTTTTGTTTCTTAAAAGATTCTATAAACACTGACTGGATCTTAAATAACTTGTTCCTTTCAACCAAATGTCAGTTTGGACATTTACTTAGGTTTCTTATGTTTCATGTTTGGCAGGAGGGTTGGAACTAGAGGATCTTTAAGGTCCCTTCCAACCCAAACCATTTTATGAGATTCTATATATGGACATATATACAATATTAGTGTTTAAAAACTTCCTCTGCACTGTCTACTGTGTGACTCCTTTTCTTCTTCTTCTTTCCCTCTTCTCTGTCTCAGGTCTTCCTTCCTTATCTCAGATCCTGACTATTTCTGACTGTCTTTTTTCCTTCTCTTCTACTGCCTGTCTCCTACCTGTTTCTGGTCCTTCTCTCATTCTCCTCCTTCCATAAAAGATGGACTCTGAATTTTGAAAAATACCTCTAGGAGGGCATGATCTGCTTTGCAGGGACTGCAAAATCCTGTCATTCTGGTACACACAGGCAGCCACTGATCCTTTGGAAAAGCAGAGAAAGATCCAAGGCAGCTTTTAGCCTCTTTATTCCAATGGTGGGGTAATTTAAAAGTTGGAATCAGGATTTTGTATGTTCCTGCCAATTTCTGCAGCAGCTTGAGTTTAGTTGTAGGTGAAGAGTGTTTCTCAGAGATCAAGCCTGATTCTTCTCTCGCTTACACTTGTGTGTCTATGAGTCCAGAATCTGGCCCATAATAGTTTTGCATTGACCTGACTGCATTATTATAATACTTCTTTACTATATGAGTTGCTATTAAAATAGGGCCTGAAAATAGGAATGCCCAGAGATACTAGTGCTCCAGGTTAACCTCTTTGTAAAATAGTCACTTGTTTTACAGTAGCACATTTTTTGAACCACATTGTGAAAACAGTGAATGACTGTCAATGTCTTGAATATCTTGTCCGTAGGTGATTGTCCTTTACTCCATAATTCTCAGCCAGTCAGCCAGCTTCCTTCTCTGAGGCCTGACCATCATCACTACCCAACTATCGATGAGCCTCTTCCACCAAGTAAGCTTTAGTTTTTTATTTTATTGCCTTTTTTCAGCTTTTCCTGTTAACTCAAACAGTGTAGAGGTCAGTATGTCTTTCTAATGAACCCTGTCTGTTCAGTCTACAGAACCCCAGCAATATGCCCATTTGTTTCCCTTATTTGATCCTGACTTCAAGTGTTGTCATGTTATTTTGGACAAGCTCCATAACCTCCGTCTGCCTTGGTCCGTCTTCTTCCTTAGCTACGATGAAATGAAAATAATATTTCCCTGTTTCCAGTCAGTGTGTTTAGGCTCGAATGACTGGGTGTCTATCAGGTGTTCTGGAAGCCTTAATGTAGAGCTTTCTGGGTGGTGTTTCAGCAAAGTACTCTGATTTTTCTGTAATGTTTGTCTCCAGGTTTTCTGTAACCAATTTCACAGGTGGTTTGGGATGGTAGTCCCTGTGGTCTGTCAGGTCTGCAAGCAGGTCCAGCAGGAACCCTTTCGTGGTCAGGATGCTCCTGGGACAGACAGGTCCAAATCTGAACAAAACCAGCAGAAGCTGGGGAAAGACAGCTTATGTAGAGTGGTCTAGTACTGTCTTTGGATTTGATTATCAGTGAATTTTATGTTCATTATGGACTGTAGTGAATTCTACAGTTGAATAAAAATGAGAGAGTCTCAAGTAACGTGATTGATTACTAGCCTGGTGCTATGGGATTTTTACCACGGGAAGCAACTGCTGGAGGTGGTTTTACTTGTCTTTGTAGCCTTCCCCTTGTGTATTCCTGGAGGATTGCCCTGCTTTTTGCACTGGCGTTCGGTGCCCAGCAGAGCGCACTCTATGCCCTGCGACGCGCTGCTGACCACCTTCCAGCTCGAGCGCAGGATTTAACAGCCTGAGATGTGCAGTGCCTCGCAAAAACAACCAGGCGTATAAACACAGCACTCTGTTTTCTTCAAAGCCCGAGAAGGGAACGCACTTATTTGGCCTGTGGTGCCCTTCACAAATAATTCATCACTTGCCAACCATGCTGTCAGTATTCCCTAAGCTGAAAATAGCCCTGATGCTGGCGTCAGCTGCACAGTTGCACGAATGATTCAAGTGCCTTTAACCCAATGAAGTCTTATTAGAGTCCCACTGTGGCTTGCCAGTGAATGATGAAATGGGAATGGTTACCTCTGTAACAGGCAAATATTTCTCTTCCTCACGCTCTTACCACAACACTTCGTGAATGGGGCACGTTCCCCATTAGATGACTTACTGAAAGGGCACTGACACCAGCTCAGGTAAACAAAATATACTGTAAATCTATTCCATATTCTTCCATCATGGATTTAATATGTTTTTCCTCTTTCTTATAATTATCCTCAAAAGGCAAGTATTTCTACCGTTGATTTTCACAAGCGCTTTCACAACAAGGTTTAAGGACGTGAAATGCAATGAGTGATGATAAAATACAAACCGTCACAGACGTGATATCCCTTTGTACGATTTTGTTTTATCATTGGTGTATAGTATAATTTTTACATTAAAGGCTGACACTGTGGGCTTAAATATATTGATCTTAATAGAAATAAACCGTACTAAGTTAATGCTGTGTAAAAAAAAAAGTTTAATTGAATAATATCACTTAGAAAACCAGTTTGCAAAAACTCTTCATGAAATTTTACAGAAATTTCGAAATGAAATCTATAACCTAAATCTAGAAATTTTTCTTCCTCTAGATTTTAGTAGCACTATCTCAGTGCATTTAATGCCTCTTAATCCTAGATAAATAGTTCTTCAATCATGTGAAAGGAAGAAACTTTACCATTTAAACCTGAGTTGTATGGTCAAACCTGGCGCATGCAGTGGTTAGCTTCCATCTATAAGTAGAGGTGAAGATAATTTGCTGCAGGTTCAGCATTGATTGATTTTATTTAGGTCGTGGAGAATCTTCTGGACAGTCTTGTCTTTTGAATAGTTTTCTGAATAGCTTGATTTCATCATAAGCCCACAACAGTTGGTCTCAGGGAGAAAACTTAATTTCAGATAGTTTTATTTAGGAAAGTAAAGTAGAACAAATTCATGATTTATGTAGGAATTTCGTAATGACTAGTCTGAATGTTAAGATCACTATGAGATTAACAGAAGATTTGCAGTTTGTATGGCCTTATGACGGCATTAATAGTCACGCCTTTTTAAGCCTGTCTTTGCTAGTACTGATGGAAACCCTACTGAACTGAAATAAAATACATGTGCCCAGCTGCTCTTTGCCAAAGGTGTGACTGCTTGGAAAGGAAAAGACAGTGTGCTTACTTTGCCCTGATGGTCCTGCCCGAAGAAGTTGCATCTTCTGGTATAAATCAGAGCAGTATCAAAGCTGCTGTGAAATATGACTTGGCTGATGGAGGGGAATCACCTGAGAACAGAACCAGTACTGTCACATCCCCAGCCTGTGCTCTAGCATGCTCTGACTGTGAGGGTTAGATGGAGGTTAGTTTTTGTAGCAGTCACAGTCTTATTTTACCTGAAAAACTTAACAAAAGACCCTGAGGAAATCTGGCTGCTTCCTAGGTCGCCTATGCCCCTGAATTAGCATGAAGGGACTTGAGCACAGCACAGAAGCAGAGTTCTGTCTGTCAGTTCACCTGTCAGCCTGTTTGTCCTACTGTGCAGGTATCCATCCATCTGTCCACAAATCTGGTATCGTGTGCAGGCAGCTTCAGTGACTTGTGTGACTTACAGACTGTCTTACGGGAAGGTAGAAAGTACACCTGCCACCTGTGTGCAACCAATATTGCGCCTGACACCCTCTGACAGCCTCCCCGGGTTTTAATGTTTTAAGCAGGCTAATGCCAGTGTCAGCCCATGGTTTCAGGTGTATCTACCCATAAGGCAGTGAATAAAACAACACTCGCTAATAGGTGTAGCTCGTGTCTGTACATACTTCTGCTGTGTGTCTGAAACAGCCTTTCTGAAGTCGTAACACAGTCTGCATGATCCTGACCTGATGTTTTCACTGTGACCTCCAAGCTCTGGACAAGTTCCCTTACTCCTAAGTTTCCAAGCATTGTGCTTAGGAACTCTAAGTTGTATTTAATTAGAGAGATGCTGCGAGATAGACTCAAGAGCTGGTAGTGCACAGGGCTGGATCATAAAACCTTGTTTGACTGTGTAATTGGGTAGTATTATTCTTACCAAGTGTCCATCAGCAGTCTTCAGACCACTATGACTAAATGGTGTCTTCTGTAGGCTGTCTGGAGTGTGGATCCACAGCACTGCCTACAAGCTTCTAATTATCCATCGGTCTTTATTGCTCTCAACTTGTTATGAGGTACAAACAATAGTGTGGGGTGAGGGCTAGAATTTGTCCTTTGCTAGACAACAGCAAGGAAAATGAAGGTCTTTGTGATGTTAAGGTACGCGGTCTCACCTTTGATTTGGCCAAGGTTATTTCCTTGAGGATATTGCAGATAATGCGTAGCTCCGGAAGGACCTTTCCCTACCCAGGGAAGTACACCTGCCACCAGTGCCAGCATGCTCAGCAAGGCTCTGGCCTTCAACCTGCCTCATGTGTCGGTGTGACTTACTTCAATATGCATATGTTGTACTTGATGTGCCTTTTTTTTTTTTTTTCACTGTCTTATATTTTAGACATGGTTTTCACAAAGCTGTGATCTTGTTCTTGAAACAGCTACAACATCCTTGGGAAACTTTACCTGGTGGAGTAAGAGAGAGTCCTCTCCTTAAATTATATAGTGATGTTCACAGTGAGAGACACTGCATGTATACCCGTGGTGTGACTACAGGTTTTGCATCTTTAAGGACTGTGGTACTTACAGTCAGCTTTGAAAGAAATAATGCATGTGCATATGGCTCTTGTTGTCTTGGAGTCTTACAGAAAATTCCTCCAAGGACTCTCGGTGCCCATCTGTTAAGGTTTGTGGGATTCACCTGTCAGGGGCAGCCAGCCACAGACTTGAGACAGCCTTCAATTTTCTGGGACCAAGTATAGGAAGTAGGTTTAGCCGTAGCCAGCATTCAGGGGATGGGAGCTAGTCATGAAGGATAGGTTTCCAGAGACAGCAGGAAGAGGTGTAACTTCAGTCCTGCTCTTAGAAAGTAGGAGATAAAATACATAACGTATGAAATCCGGCTGATCCTGAATTTGATCATAGAAAACCATAGGACTCATCAGGAAAGATGGTATCATAGTGAGAATATGAGGAAGTGTTTGCCCTCAAAGGTAATCACCATATGTGCATTTGTGTGTGGATGTGAGTGAGGTTTGTATATAAATTTGTGTAGAAGGTATGTGCATGTATTTACATAGATATGTAGTAAGCTGAGGGGTCATGTAGGAATATGAAACTAGCAAGCCTGATTTATTCCACTTCTCCATACATCCCAACCACTTTGATATGTGGCTTTGCTAGCTAACTCACTTCTGAGTTTCTCCCGTTTCAAACATTTTTTTATCAACATTACCATTTTCCACAAGCCATCATATACCAAATAGGTTTTAGTTTTCAGTCATGAGGCAGCATAAACATTATCAGGAAACAATAATGATGGAAGGCTCAATATTATGCTGCAAACTCTCAATCTAGTTTGCATTCATCAGAGCAATAGGTTTACAATACTCTGTTTAGAGAGATTTCTAAGGTAGGTCCATTCAGTTTGTGATCAGCTTTCAGGGAAGCCTTTGATTGCTCTGTGGTGCCCTTCAAAGCCACTTAATAAAAGGAGAGAAATAAAACACGTTTGTTCTGAAACATAACAAAAAAATGAAAACATGGGATTTGCCATATTAGCTCAGGTGTAATCTTTTTCTACTAAGAGTCAGTTGTATGTGGCTGCTCTGACCTGCAGTGAATCCAGCCAACAAGTATCACCAAGTGAAAAATTAATCTAGCCCTGTTGAAAATGCAGCCACTACATCGCTAGCTTTTCACGGGCTGTGGTAGTGAATTCCATGGCCTACCTGTGTGCTGTGTATGAAACGTTGATGTATATGCATATACTGCATATATGTGTACATAGACAAGCACAGAGTATCTATGCACCTTTGAATGTATACTTTGGATGTATACACAAAAAATATCTATTGCACGCATGTAGGCTCCGTGTATGGTATCTCCTCTGTGTATATACCCTGTCTGTGCATATATGTGTGTCCGTATGTGCCTCCCACGGTTGGGTTTTCTGGAAGGCGTCGCACTGACAGCATCACCCCTTCCTTTTTTTTTTTTTTTCCCCCCCGCACTAGATTGGGAAGCTCGGATAGACAGCCACGGGAGGGTGTTCTACGTCGATCACGTCAACCGAACCACCACGTGGCAGCGCCCCACGGCCGCGGCGACGCCGGACGGGATCCACAGGTCTGGCTCCATCCAGCAAATGGAGCAGCTGAACCGGCGGTGAGCATTAGCACCTAAATTCCTTTGAGATCTGTGCTCTCCTCTTTCCACGCTGCCCCAGTAGCTTCCTTCTTTCTCCGATGCGTCACGCTGACTCCCTAAGGATTTATCTTTCCTCCTTGTCCAAGTTCTTTCAGCCTGCAGGTGTGCCTGCTGCGGGTGTCTGGTACCCAAACTTTGCCCACAGGCGCAGTGTTGTTGAGTGAATGATGTTGCAAAACGTTTCAAACAGCAAGAAGAGGTTTTCTGGAGAAGTTTCCTGAAATGACTGCCAGAAGGGAAGGGAGGATTCTTCTAAAGGATGGAGTCACTTTTTGCTATTTAACTGTAGGAGTGGTGTCAGTGGGTCGGAACCTCGTGCTGTGCTGCCGAGGTTTCAGAGCTGACTGTTGCTGAAATGGTTGCCATATCAGTGTGGGATTTCTACTCGAGGCCTGCTGGAAGGTCTGTCTCCTTTCCCAGAGCAGAGTCCTGCTCTAATAGGTCTGTGCACATTTCTAGATGTAGATAGATCTGCTTAATGTTGCATTGGGCCCCGTGAATCTGTCAGCTCGTTCTGAGCTGTTTGAAATATCTCTTGACGTCTCTTAGATTTTCTCTTTGTTTGACTAGTTCACACATAGATTTTATCATTTTCTTCTCATGTTTGCGTTTTAGACTGAATTTAAGAGGGAGAAGAAAAAATTAACGGTTGGACAAAAATCTTCCTTTCTTGCTTCAGAAAAGGTTTTGGGTTTTGTTGTTTGTTGAGGTTTTTTTTAATTCCCTGCTTACTGTAATAATGCCATTTCTAGAAAAGGACAGGCAAAACTGAAATTATATCTTAATTATAGCATGTAAAATGCCACAAAAGGTTTTTTGGTCTTTTTTTCTGTGCTAAGAGAAAGATCTGCAACCGAGAGAGGGATGCAGAACTTTAAAGTGCTCTTTTCAGAGTACTTTGGGTAGTTTGGGAGCTCCTGTGTCCTGAATGGGGCAGTCTGGGAGAACTGGGCCCTGAGTGACAACAATTAGAAAGGTAATATATAACTCAGGGAGAGCAAACCAGCCTTCCCAAAGTGGTTGTTTTGCAACTTACGTTGACACACCATCAACACGTTCTTGAAGAGTTAATATTTTTTTACCGAAATTTGTTGTTTTGATTAGCATTTCATAAACTGTGTTATGTCTTGCAGAAGTGAGAGAACCTGCTCAGGATTTGTTTTCATTATAGCTTTGCTCGTGAAGTCTCAAGCTACCATGTTAATATAAAAAGACCCCAAAACTCTGTAAAGAAAGTGAATGTTTTATGTAGATCTTTCATGGGGTTTGCATGACTTCTCTGCTATTTAGCATTTGGTTTTAAGAGGGATTTGAGCCATGTCAAAGCTCAGACTATTTGGCTGCCCCTTAAGCAAGTTATCTGCCATAGAAAGCAGAAAAGCTGTGGACATATATCAGATGTTTTAAAATTTTTTTTTGAGGTTGAACTCATGGAAGCACATCCCAACCATGGAAGGAAAAAATGCTTGTGAGCGTGATTTACCATTCTGTTAGTTAATGCAGGTTAATCATTAAACCAGCTGTCACAGCAGAAACTGAAGGACAGACATTGTCTTCATGACCTCCTTCTTTCATATTATGCCATGTTTTCACGCAGGCTGTCTGGCTGTCTTGGTTATGATTTGATTGTCACTGGGAATTGACAGTTAATAAGACTGATATTCTTCGGATCTCTCTATTTTTAGTATTCGTATATCTAATTGCAAAAGGAGAAGCATGGAGGGGTTTCAGCAGTGGCATATCTCTCCTTACTCTTACTTGGAGACTAAGTATTTTGCCATTTATTAAACGTGAACTGTCATGACTTCTTGGGGCTAAGGAAAAAAATAGCTGGTGATTCTCTACTGTCTGCCAAGGAGCTCTGTTGATTTAAGAAGCTGAATACAGAAGTCTTCTATCGTTACCAAGTTTGGAACATTTCCTAAGATTCTAATAAAAGGGATTCATACTCTGAGCATTTGTCCAGTGACAAGTAATTTCTGTAATTTCAACCTGTTTTTTTTTTAATTATTGTTGTCCTCAGTCTAATTTCAGATATTTCATGTCTCCACATTTCAGGATTGTGAGGAAAGCCACTTTTCATAAATAGTTATTATCAACACTGTGAGGGATTGAGCTTTGCTTTGAGCACTCATTTTAGAAATCCTGTTTTGTTGTATTTCAAACTTCATGATCTGAAATGTTTTTCAGATGAAAGAATGTTTTAGGTGAGGCAACAGCAAGCACAGACCTTGCTGACAGAATTAGCAGCTGCCTGAACTTTTGCCCTAACCTCGAACAAAATTTGGACTCGAAATCACTCAGCAGTTTGAAAAAACTTGGTGGTTTTTCTTTTTAAATCAATTTACTTACTTTTTGGCTTCCTGGTTTCATTTGTGGAAGGGAATGGAAAGACCAAAATATTACAAGGAAGCCTGGTATTTCCAACCCAGCCAAAACCACAAAGCTTTGGAAATTCAGCTTGAAAAAGAAACCTGTAGCTGTGATTAAGCCTAGTTCTGCTTTCCTTCTGTGGTCCAAGCTTCCCTTTAGCTGTACTAGCCACTTGAGGATACAGGGAATGCAAAACTGGAATCCAGGTGTTGGGCAAACACCAAAGAGACATCCATACTTGTTATTTTAGAGGCTCTTGCTCATTTTCTGCAGCACTATCAGACTTACTTGTTGACAAAGCAAAAAACAGCTCTCGTTGTCCAAGCTCTGTTGAGAAGATACTTTACAGCTGTGTAAATAAATCTAGATTTATCTGTGCACTTGTTGGATAGTTAATAAGTAACCTTAGAAATTACAACTGCAATAGTTAAGACAGCCACAGCATGGTATTTTTTAACCTCCGTTTCTTTGACAAATCACTTTGAGCAGTTACTGCAATTTCCAGAGGCATTCCCATAGCTTTTGCACTTCCAGTGTTTTGTCCAATTACTTTCGCATTTTCTGGTATTTATATAAGGTGATTTTATAGTATTGAGACCCAGAAGAAATGCATAGCCTTTTGCTGGCATACAGCTGGCGTTACTACTCCCTGAGGGTTGCCAACAGGGATTTTCTACCATCTAATTAAATTGAAGGTACAAGGTGTTTCTATATGTGTGCTTGCATCCCTTGATTATATGAACCTGGGGTGTTTTGTGTTTTGGGTTTTTTTTTCCCCTTTCTTTTTCCCTTTGTTGCGTGTGGGTGTCGTAAACCTCCTCCAGTACTGGAATGGAAAGTTCATTCAATTGCCTGCAGTCAAGTGAATAAAACTGTAAAATGTAGGTCTAAAACGGGGGGGTTTAAAACTGCAGGAAATTCACGCTGTTGCAAAACCTGCTATCAGAATTTCCTTGTAAAGATGAATGTTTTCTTAAACTATCAAAATATATGCTAAATGTAGATTCAAATGACTTTGAGTAATGTAGAGGGACACATAGTATTGCGAAAGTTTGGCATAAATCTATTAAAACTTTGATTATTTTTTTTTTAATTATCTCCAGGTCTTCTGCCTAAGATTAAGTTGCAGTGAGCTGCTGGAAATTATGTCTTTTGAGATATCAAAAAGCCAAATCATAACTGCTTCTCTTTAATGATCCTGTGTCCCCTTGAGGAACTAACTTCAAATTTGGGATAACATGTGCATTAACAAGTAAAGAGAGAAAAAGTAATTAAAATATGCAAGTCCAAACTCAAGCTGAGGAAAGAAAAAAGAGTATAAGTCAGAAAAATGAAAGACATACAATGCTGAATCAGATTAAACGCAGTCAGTAAAGCCATCCCCTTCAAATACATATGGCAATGCTATCCATAAAGAGGGATTAAAAATATTGGGGTGAAGTAAAAGCTAATTAAGGTAGCTAATTAAATAATTAAGATATCCTGGTTTTTATTTTTGGTTTTCATTCTGATTCTGGTTCTTTCTTCCTCTTTCTCCTTATGATTTCCCCTCCCCTCTCCTCCCCTCCCCTCCCTGCTATATAAAATATAATATATATAAGACAAATTTTTAGCTTGTCAGTAGAACCAAAGAAAACATATTCACTCATTCATCTGTGAGTATGAGTGAACTGCTTAATGAAAATTTACTTTCTGTAGTGTGAATTCAAAACACTACAGGATATTTGTTCCTGATCTAGTGAAGTGTTTAGGATTGAGCACATGCCTAAAACCATGATCAGTTCCACTGACAACAACTAATATGGCAATTAACTCCTTGATTAAAATGGAAATGACATTATAGTTTTTAAAGATATTCACATGTTTCTATTCAGATTTTTTTTTGTCACCATCCTCTCTGTTGATTGCTTATCCTATATTGTTTCCCCTTCCTTGTTTTACAGGTAGTCACCACCAGTGCCCAATCCCACTGATTTCCAAAAATGGACATAACACTTTCATCTTCACACTGTTCACTTAGCTATCACGTTGCAACCTATTCTACTTTTTTGTGGCTGTCATATCAATTAAATTGTAGCTCTTTGAGGTCAAAACACCTACTGGTTTACGTTCCATTGCCTATCAAAATGGAAGCGTTCACAACTGCAGCCCATGCTGGAATCCTTCAGAAACGGGGCTGATTGTTAAGGCAGAAAGCACCAGAGAGCTCTTCTGTTAACTGAAGTGTGTTGTTCCTTTCTATGCATATATTTAGATACCAAAACATCCAGCGAACAATCGCAACAGAGCGGACTGACGATGATGCTGTGGTAAACAACAGGGTGGAGAGAGTTCCCACGGGAGGAGGAAGTGACTCTGAGGCAGAGCCTTCTCAGCCAAGCTCAGGTATGGAGGGGAAAAGCTTCTGAGTGGCATGTTCAGTGCCATTCAGGTCTGGGGAAAACTCTGTTTCAAGGGGAGACAGGAACTTTATTATAACAGGTTGCAAAAATTAATTAAAAAAAAAAAAAAAGAAGGACTTAAACTTGAAGGAACAACAGTTTTTAGACCTGAAGCTACAGGTATAAAGCTAGATATAAAGGTCCTCTGTTCTTTTTTAACGACTACTAGACAGACAAGGCATTTTTACCTTGGTAAAGGGCCATTTGAAATTAAAATGGACAAGGCATCTGGTTTTTATTCACCTAGTAGTTGTAAAAATCATACTGTCTTATTTTTGCTGCAGTGTGATTTTTAGCTTGGGGCATTGCAGTTCTCTCTCTCTAGGCCTGACTTCTTGCACTGCCACATTTGCTTATGTGATTGCACCTGCAGGGGCCCTGGCATAAAGTATGAAATACTTGTGGTTTTTAAAGCTGCAATTTTGTGATAGTTATGAACGGATCTAAGTGTGGGCTGTGGACTGAAGGAGACACGGCTGTCTTTTTGCTCATCTCTAATTTATGTGACAGGTTTCTTGTCCTTGTCATTTACAGACAGGATGGTTCTTTCCTCTGTCTCGTTAGATGACCAGACAAGAATGATCATCTCTGCCAAGAAATGGAGAATGTATATCCAAGGCAGGATGGGATGGCAGGGGTCTCTTCTACTCTATTTGGTGTTAGTCAGACTCATGCTTTCTTAAAATACTTGGGGAAACCATAGCCTAGGTGTTTGTTTCAGGTAAGAAACACCAGCAATCAGACTAGTGCTCACTATGCAACTTGAGGTCATGCAAAAATAACTCTTACTTTGTTTGAGAACTTGCACCACCAGCGCGATTAATCGGTTCTCATCCTCTGGATTCTTCTTACCTCTGCCTAACTTTGTGTTCTGTATTGTCTGCCACAAGTAAATCTGACTTCTTGCAACCTTTTTGCCATCCCTCTCTAAATAGCACTGGCAAAGGGAATGAACCAACACAATATCTGCTTGAATTTTCTTAGTTTTCCATGTTGACTAGGAAAAATTACACAGAGAAATAATAAATGTTTTTTTAACAAGTTTAGAAAAATACTCGATTTTGTTTGTTTTCCTGATCCATTAGGTGTTTTTAGCTTGAAAATAGATTTTGACAGTGATGTTTAACATTAGATACTCAAAGCTTCCTTGCAATCTTTTGTGTTGCAATTTATGGGAGACTTTTACGTGCTCTGGATTGTATAAGGAGGTCCCAGCTCTCTCTGTTAGAAGCTGAAGTGGAAATGAGGTACACACTGTATTTTTAGTATTTATAGGTAATGTTGCCGTTATTTGTAATATGTATAGTCATTTACCATCATAGCCAACATAATGAAATAGTAATTTTATAGAAGTTGCTACCAGTAAGTATTTAGTTCAGTTCATTATGTAACATTCACTCTTTTGTTTTAAACCCAAAGAGTTAATGGGTACAATAAATGTTATCATAACTTATTAGGAAATGGGTTTAGCTATAGATAATTGCTTTGGTTTTAGGAGAAAATGTCAATATTATATAAAATACCAAGAATTAAAAGGTCAGGGATGATGTAGACACGCTGAGGAAAAAAGAAAAAAAGCTGCAGTATGATACATTTGCTATTTGTCTTTTAATTTAAATGAAAAATGACAGAAGGAATACAGTTTAGGCACACTAATCCAGATTTTAAGCCAGTATAAATGAATTTAGCTCCAGCAATGGATACAGTCTGCAGTTTTAAGTGGATAAAATAGTACAATGTGTCCAGGAGGAAGGAAACAAAAAAGCTATAATTAATAAGAAAACAAATGGGAATCTATCTTTATTCTGTTAATGATGTCTGCATCCAATTTCCTTGGACTGCAAATACAATTTGACTTTATTTGAAAATACCAGAATGCCCAAGACATAAGTCCATGGTAGGAAACATTTTTCTGGTGGCTGTAGAAGGTCAGGAGCTTCTACCTCTGTAGAGTTTCATTCTCACATTCTCAGTTCTGATCCCAAAAACCATGGACTTACCAAAAATAATGCAATTAAAGAGCAATGATGGATTGGGAAATCAGGTCTCTCTAAAATCAGCTGTGGGGGGAACCAGTATGGACCTGGGTGACAGTGCTGAACCAAACCACCAGCTGGTAAAAACTGCTGAGGTCACACCCTATTTAGAGACAGAAACAGATGTGACACAGAGTTTTGTGACCTACAGTTCAGAAAACTGCCCAGCCCCTGCACTGCTGTGGTGAACACGGCACCACATCTGTCAGTTTGCCAGCAGGCTTGTCTTGGGAGCACCAAGAAGGTAGGTGCATCAGGAAGGTGGTAACTTTTTTTATACTGTCACTTTGGCAGCTGCTCATTAAAGGTTAAATAGTAGATTGTGCTTCCCGCTACATTAATAATTTTTTTATTATTATTTTTTTTTTTTTTGTCCAGAGATTAGGAGGGAAGGTTCCCTTTCTCCTGTGAATTCTCAAAAAATCACCTTGCTGCTGCAGTCTCCAGCTGTGAAGTTCATCACCAATCCCGAGTTCTTCACTGTGCTGCATGCAAACTATGTGAGTAATGATGATTTGCTCTCTCACACTACTGATTTCTGAGTCCAAATGCCACGCCCCAGGCTTTCAGGGAGAATGCCTCGTGAATCTGAATTATGTGACATGAGGCTCAGCTGTCAGCTTTCTCAGCACCAGAGCAGGCTGGGGACACTACAGGCAGACTGCTCCAACGAGACTCTTCCTGAGATTCTGCCTCACACAAGAAATTCATGGAAGAGAGAAGCTCATTAATGTTATCCTCCCAGAAATAAGCAGGAGCCCTTGGTTTCAGCTTGTTCGATCCTGTTGTCTGTTGCTGCAGAGAGTGAGGTTGTTGCCTTTTGAGCCCACCATCCTGAGAAATCTTTCTCAGATTGCACCAAGTCTCAGGGAAATAGAGGGGAAAAAAATACCGCATGCAATTTGCATTCCCAAAAATCAGGCAGGCATAATGGAGTAAAAGAAATACTGACTTGAGTTAGTAGAGCTATTTTGGAAAAAAACACAAATAAAAGTGAATTTTCAAAATTAAAACATCTTTTTTTTTTTTTTTTCATTAATACAGTAAAACTACACATTTTCTTGCAAACCTATTGTGGAGTGGAAAAAGATGTAATATTAGGAGGAAGCAGATAGGGGAGTCCTATAAGGAGAGGAAGTCCTATTTTGCCGTATTTTGAATGTAGTTCAGCTAGGTATCTGCACGTGATTTTGAGACTATTTGGAAAATCATTCATTTCTGGAGAGCAATGACCTTTCTTTTTGAAAGGAAGAGAAAGTGAAACACTTGGAGAGTCACCTCAGCACAGGTTTTCAGCAAACTACAGACATCAGGTTTTGGCTGTGGCAGCTGGTGGATTGAAGCCAGGTGTCCATCTCCAAGCATCTGCCAGACATTATTGCCCATGAAACCCTACCGAGGAAGGGGATATATTACCTCATCTGACATTACATCAACTAAGTTATGGAGTGCAGACAATTTCCTACATTGACAGGATGATATATGATGATTTATATTTGAGAGGGATGTAATTTTCAGTCAGTATAGCTGTTTGAAAAATGAGGAACTGATTCCGTAATTGTGTAAGGAACAGTCACAAAAGATTAAATCTCAATTTTATTTCTTACTGAAATAAAAAAAAAAAAAAAAAAAAAAAAAAAAAAAAAAAAAACACACCAAAAGAGGCCTTCAGTTTGAGCTTATAAACTTGTCTCTAATATGAGAACTAGAATAATCTATTGAAACATCTGTCAAATGGTCATATAGATTCCCCTTGTGCAAAAATAATGGCTCACATAACTTCTGGCTTAACACAAGTGTAATATTTTAACTACAGGCCCCTATTAAAATTTCAAGGTATTAATTATACCAGTGAGGTTGGGATTGGAAAATATTATCTGGCAGTTAGAATTAAAAAGGGAAAGGCACTTATTTTTCATATATTCTATTTCCATGGAGAGATAAAACTACATTACACTCTTTGGTTCCCTAACGCATCTAAGAGATACTCAAGACAGTCATTGATCATATGTTAGATCAAAATACAACTTTTGTTATAGAGTGTGCTGGGATCTTAACAGTGTGTGACCATGAAGCTTTCCTGGGTTATAAGCAGGTCATATCTTCAGGGCAGAGATCATATCTCTGTGATTTCATAACCTTTACCAGCCCTTGCCATAATTAGGGACCCTGTGCCACAGGGAGTGTTCTCAGTGGTGCCACCACAGTAAATCCTTACATAATAAAGATAACACTTGTAAATTTTTGTATTGCATTATAGTGGTTAAAATGCATTAAAAGGACACAGAAATTGAGAATTCAAAGCTGTTGGGTCAGATTGTCTCGACAGATTCTCTGAACATATTCCAGGTCTGCACGCTGGGGCTCACTTCACTGGAGATGTGAGTCCTGCAGTGATCCTTTATTACTCTAATGAGTATCTCAATCCTTTGGGCTGACCAGCAAACCAAGGCACTCATTTCCTTTTTAGTGAAAGGCTCAGGAAGGTTGCGGATTTTTTGTGACTTCCTTAGTCTGCCTTGAGGAGCTTTTTCCCTGTAGTGAAAGATTCCAAGAGTGGCCTGCGGATGTGCCTTCGTGTGGTCACCAGAAGCATTATTTTGTGGCACTCCATCATTGAATATACCGTGGCAACAAAAACAGTTCACTTTAAGCTCTTCTTCTGCAGTCAGGTCGGCACTAACTCACTTGAACCGCATCAGGGCACGTTCCTCTGTGAGGTGCATTTAATGCCCATTGTGAGATACAGCTTGCTGCCTGAGGGGTGGCCTTCATCTGGCTCATGGAAATGTCTCCATCTGACATGCTTTGTAGTCATCACAGAAACAAACATTCAGCTACGTGAAACAATCCACATCTTACAAAAATAGGCAATTAGAAGTGTCTGTTCCTGTCCTGTGGCTATATAGGGACCTTAGGCAGCAGTCTTTGGTGTAGGCATCTGCACTGCAGTCCTCTTGAGTTCATGAATCCTATCACACGTATCTTGATTTCAGTTATAGCACGAATACATGTTCACAGCTGTCTCTGCATTTCTCTGGCACCATCCAGGCATACAAGCAGTGTTTGTGTTGACCAATAAAAGTAATGACATGGGCAGAACTACAGGCATCTTGAGTATGTGATGTTTGAGCTGACTGGCTTTTTGAAGTGTATTAGAAAGGTAGTTCATGCACAAGTTAACTGTGGAGAACGTGTGGGGCGTTTCACTTTCCAGATTGTATTTCTTAATTCCACGTGTTCATGTAAAGTAGTCATTTAAATCAAAACCGTGAGATGGAAATGTTTCTAGATTCCAGCAGGATTTGTTGCCGTTCTTTGGGCATGTGTCCCATGAAATAACCAAATATGTTGTTTTTCCATCAGAACTGGTTTTCCTCACTTCTGTTTTTCATCTCATAGAGTGCCTATCGGGTCTTCACTAACAGTACCTGCTTGAAGCATATGATCCTGAAGATTCGTAGAGATGCTCGTAATTTTGAGCGGTATCAGCACAACAGAGACCTGGTAAATTTTATCAACATGTTTGCTGATACCCGACTGGAGCTTCCTCGTGGCTGGGAGATAAAAACTGACCAGCAGGGCAAGGTAAGAGTGCCAAC